GATAACCCAATCCACTCCAAAGCATGTCCATGAGCCATTGGAAAGTTCATGGTACAAGCAGTGTGTGGGAAAGAGGTTTGGTACAATATTAGGATGGGAGGTAACAGCTTTAAGTTGCTCCAGGGGAGGGTCAAGTTGGATATGAGGAATAATTTCTTCTTAGAATGACGAGGAGTTGGAACAGGCTGCCCAGCGAGGTGGTGGAGTCACCATCCCAGGAGATGCTCAAGAAAAGGGTAGATGTGACAAAGATGCAAAAAAATATTTAACACCACTGAAAAGACTGCAAGTAGGGCTGAGAAAGTTACTTCATAGTTACAGTACATCATGACTTAGCAGAACATGGCAGTTACAGCACTATGAAGCAGTAAGGTACACATTACAAGGTCAAGGATCGCCTACCTGTAAAAGAAAGGAGCATCTCTCAATGGGAAGATATCTCTATCATCTGAAAGGAAATGCAAAGACTCCTTCCAGATGCCATACTTCTCAATACTTTTATTATTCTTGATCAATCTGTCACAGCCTACCCAAAGCCAAGGACATCACTTCCTGCTTTTCTGTTACCACAAAAATAAAAATGTAAATGATCTGATCCTGATAAACTCTTATATAATGTACTGCTTTATCTTCTACACACCTTAAAGAACAGCTATTTATCCACATAAAATCACAGAACAGCTCAGGTTGGAAAAGACCTTAAAGATCATCGAGCCCAACCACAACCTAACCATCCTACCCTAACAACCCTCTGCTAAATCATGTCCCTGAGCACCACATCCAAATGGCTTTTAAACACATCCAGGGATGGTGACTCAACCACCTCCCTGGGCAGCCTATTCCAGTGCTTAACAACCTGTTCTGTAAAGAAGTGTTTCCTGATATCCAACCTAAACCTACCCTGGCACAACTTGAGGCCATTTTCCCTCGTCCTGTCACCTGTCACTAGCGAGAAAAGACCAGCCCCACTCACGCTGTAAGCACCTTAAGCCCATATTTTTCTGTGAACTGAATATAAGCTGATTTACAGTTATTCAAGTCAGTTAGCTTACTCAGAGAAAAATATAAACCCTAAATTGATGTATCAGCAGATTCTCATCTAGGAAATAAAATAGAGCTTAAATCCAAGAAAGATTATGGTAATTCAGCAAAGCCATACAGCCCTTGCTTTTGTTTTGGAAGGATGAGAAGATAAAATAATGAAATAATGGTGAAAAAAATAATGAAAAATGTCAGTTAAGAAACACTGAGGAGAAGTATTCTCACATATCCGACCTATACAAAACATCTGAACACTTTTAAATTGAACATTTGATTTCAATTTTATGAACTGCATTTCAACACTATGTTGTGTCATTGCTTCTTACCAGGAGTTGCAATACAGGTCTCTTTTCTTTTGCATGGAAACCCCTCAATTCTCAACAGACATCTCACGATGTACCAGCAGAGAGGGAAAGAATTTCCTCCAACTAACTTGATTGCTGGAAAGAGGCAGGAGTTCAAATGACAGGTATCATATAGACAAATGCGAAATGATGAAAATATTTCTTTTTACAGCTGACTGAAAATGAATTATATTGGTCAGCTCAAAAAAAAAGAAAGAACTGACACAGTCTAAATGACATCAGGAAAGAGAAAACAATCAAAGAGAAATGAGTTAGACAGAGCCCGATCTTCTGTTATCTACTATAAAGCAATAACAAAAATCTACCAGCTCTGTAGAACGCTTCAGGAGACAAAACACAAAAGACAAAACCCTGGCTTTCATCTTTACAGGAAAAAACAACAACAAAAAACTTAAAGTATCCAGCACAGCAAAACAGATTAGAATGAACCTACAGGGGCATGGCCACCAGAACAGAAAACAGAATTCTTAATAGGACACCATGTAACATCATATTAAAAAAAACCCAAAAACCTGCTGTTACATTAGGTCTGACGTTTATTATTATTATTTTTTAAGTGAAAAAGTAACATCAAATCATCTGTCAAAGCTTTCAGTACTTCAGGAAATCAAGATATAGCAGTTTAGATCAAGCAGTAAAACTAGAGCTTTTTTGCCCCTTTATTAACAACACATCAGCTACCTGCTAACAAAATATGCATGTTTCGCTGATTTAAATGTCATGATTAGGAAAATAGATCTTAAAACTACACCTAACTCTTCTGTTTGAATTTACTTACCAAACACTTCACTAGTGTGAAATATGCAGCAGATACTTAGAACTTGCATTTGCTACGCTAACATTTTACCTGCTATTTCTGTCACTATTTCATCAAATACTGTGAACTAGCAATTCAGAAATCAAAACCAAAAGAAAATAGCTACACACCTGTGATGTCTAACAAATCAAGAGATGTACTGCATAAACATTATGCTGGATAATAAAAATAATTAGATTTCAAGTCCAATGGAACTGAGTTCTAATTGAAAACAGTCCTTACATTTCTTGTATGCCCTTCTTGGCAAAATAAAACATTTTCCTCACTTGCAAGTGAGCAGGAATTCAACACCTGCAACACGTGTACTTCATATCCTCCTTTTATTTTTATTCCCATATTTATATCATAGTATAACACACCATTAGCGACAAGAAAGCAATTTCTGTCTCAGACACATGCATTTCTAGTTAGCAGCTTAAACCACAAACGTGATATCCTCACAAAACGTGAACATGCTGTAAAGCAACAATTGTGTTTTTACCTGTTATGTCGCTGTACTTACCTTGGAATACAGCATTACAGGTTAAGCAGTTTCCAGTAACTCTTTGATTCTGTGACAAGTTGCAAAGCATTCTGTTCTTGTTATGTGTCTTTTGCAAATAGCAAGCCTACGTTGATCAGCACACCTCTGCATGTCAGAACTACTCACCATTCACCAACAATTTATTAAAGCAATAAAACACAGAAATGCTCCATCCTTTTAAAGCACTAATAATTCATGTCGACTCAAACGCAAGCTTTCAGTTAGAGAAAACTTAAGTGTCAACTAAATACTGCTTTTAAAAAAAGCCCATTTCCTTTAAAAACTGAAGATGATTACCTTTTTTTACAGTATTTTTTTACTGATTACCTTTTGGTAATATCTTAGCACACTCTGCAAACAGTACATTACTCCATCCCTTTATTTTGTTTTTAGATCACGTGAGTAAATTAAATGATTCTCTCTCAAAAAAAAATCCATCTCCTTCTAATCTGAAGTGTACTTTTATACTGAAATATAAAAACATGTAGATAATTAAAGCATTACTGATCATTGACAATGATTTCCATAATTCTCTTGAGACACAGAAAAAAGATGACCATGGAAATTAAAATATAGTAACACAATCGTTATAAATGTTATATAACAAGGGAGAGCTTTTTTTTTAAAAAAAAAGTATACACAGTTGTTCAATATATTAAGAATCCATGCACTACTTGTATCATTTTTCAAATCATTAAAACAATTATTTAAATGTGAAACTGCACACTTCAACTCCTACTCCTCCTTTTAATCAAATCCCTTAGAAAAATATTATTCTTGACATAGGTTAAACTGTACAAATGTAGACTTGCACAGTAGTTGTGAAAAACGACAGAAAGACACTTCATTATATATCTGGATTTTCAGGTTTTGTTACTCAGATTTTAAAGATAAAGCACCTTTTAGGGCCCCTACAACATACTGCCTGTAAGTAAAAAATGAAAATCATGCTGGCTTCACAAATTTCAAAATTCTAATGACTATTACATTGTAATAATAACAAAATAGAAGAAAGAATTGTTTGAGCTAGGATCTCATACTCTTCACAAGCCTTCCTCTTCAAGATCTACTCATTCAGAGTTTTAGAAAATCAAACATAGTCAGACCTGAAGGGAAGTTGTTTCAGCCAACACATTAGTAACAGCGCTCGTCTGATAAAATCTTAAGAATAAAAAACTTGCACTGAATTACTAAAACAACACTGAAGACAAATATATTTTATTAATACAGTAAGCAGTTAGAAAGCAAGCAAAGTGAAAGCTTATGAATTCATCAGTTTTTAAGCAAAAAAAAAAAAAAGGTAATAAATTAGTCTATCTCCATGCTGGTTCTTTTGTGTTATGTGCTGAACAGATCACGTTGTCTGTGCCAAAGTAAGAACACAATATGGTTTTACAGAGGTATACCCATTATTTGCATTGAATGGATGCATCCCAAATGATGAGGTCTGACAGCCTAATGAATTAAGTGCCTGGTTTTTAGATGAAAGAAATGGACTAAGAAAGACTTGATGAATTTTGCCTGCAGTGATAAAATTTAGGTTTTTTAGACACAAAAAGGTCAATGGTGTGCAGACATCACCACATTCTATAATCTGCAGAGAATGAACGAATAAATTAAAAAAACTGAGGTCACAGAGTTTAAGGCTGTTGAATTCTGTTGCTTCAGCTGAGGAGAGCTTCTGAGATGAAACCACAAAATACATGCCTTCTTTTTGCCAGTAGTTTTTGTCAATATCTACCAGTTAAAACAAAAGCACAACCTGGGACATCATGGTTTTTAAAAAAACAACGTCTCAAAGATAATGAAAATTATTAAAATTGATTAATACATAAATAATCTCTTCTTTAGGGACTTAGTTTTCAAAGATATCTAACAGGACCTTCTTTAAAGAAAACCTTCTATACAGTTATTTGTTGTATGAAAACATCTCATCTTAGTTTTATGAAGAAAGACTACGCTACACCTCGTATCAAATATTTTACTGAAATCAAACTTATTACAACTGTAATAAATATAGCTTTTAAAAACATTTAATGTACAATTTTATTTACATGAAAGTCCACTAAAGGAACAACCTCCAGAAGGAAATGGTCTTGAACCAGGCCTATTTAAACCAGAAAATCCACTGGTTTATTGGAGGTGGTGACGTTTTTTAGAAGGGGAAGTAGCAGATTTTTATCACTGACTGCAACTGTATTATTGGCTACTGGAAATACTGAAAGAATTCCATGAGTCTGTATTGCCTCCCCACCTATGTCTTCGCTGCAGAGGTGGCCTCTGTGTGTGTTTGTGAGGAGGTAACTCTGAATTCATGACAATAGGTATGGATATTTGATATTCGTATCGTTCCAACATCTGAGCAATCTTCTCACGAGTGACCCCATGTTTATTCCTCCTACAAAAATAAAAATTTAAATGAATTGCCTGGTATGGTTATGTTTACAGTCTATAAGAAAAAAAAAATAATCTTATTTCACATTTTTTCTCCTTGCTTCTCATTTCTAAAAGAACCAGATGTATTTTCCCGTATTTCTTAACAGTAATCTTTATATAATTAAAAAACATAACTAAGTCAAGTGATCACATAAATTTTAATTTAAAATGTTATAACATTTTAAATTTAAAGTTTGGTTTGTTTGTTTGTTTGTTTGTTTTTACACTGTATTCTCATTCTCTCAGTATTCAATTTGCATTAATACTGACTTTATTTTTAATAATTCACCACTGAATGCATGAAGTACCAGAAAACAATACAACCATTCTTCTTTATAAAGAAATCTGATGTTATTCATCAGGACAGCATATCTAAACAGCCTTAGAAACAATTTCTTTCCTATTTATTTTTAAGATTCTATATAGTATACCAGCTAATGAATAGAGAGATGAATGCCTTATAGACTATTATTTAGGAAAGTTGCTTATTATTTAGGAAAGAATATTACTTAGCATAAAAAATGGAACTATATGATTTCAAGACAAAATATTTTCTCATCAGTAAAACTAAGGGAAATGAAGAGAAAATTGTTTTTCAAAACAAGAACTGCATGCTCATGATACTTCTATTTTTATTGATACTTGTTTCAAATTTAGAAATAGACAAAAACAGGACAGATAAGGCAGATAAGGGAAAGTGTCAAAGCAGCCAGAAGAGACATCCTGTTCTTGCAGCAATGAACAGCCACTGCTTCCAGTGAGAATTTGGCCTAATAAGAACCTGAGACATTAGAAACTACATTGTAATGCTTTTATCTCCTCAACACCTATGGAATAACAACTCAAAATTCACATTAATAGAATTTCAGCCTCCCCTAAAAACACAACAATGAGGCTAATGCACAAACTGAGTGTCAGAGAATGACCAGCACTGCAACAGAACTGACTCTAGAAAAAGATCAAGACAGCACACCCTCCTTTGGTATGTTTTCCCTAATCTTTTTGGCAGCCTGGCTACACTGAAGGAACATAAAGGCATCTCATCCTTCAGCAACACATGTACCAGCAAAATCTTCTAGCAGACAGTTACACTTTGAAAGCTTATCTGTTGACAATAGCCAAGTTTCATCACTATCAAAGGCTTCTACATTAGAAGAATTTTGCCATGAAGAGCATGCCAATATATTGATAAAATAATACTACATAGACATTACTACCCCCAAAAAAATAAAAAATCAGCACAAGTTCAATGAAGTCAATGCCAAACTGCAGTTCCATGATCACGTTGAAGGAAAAATGAATATATTTCATTTGTTTGCATTTCACTTCTCTTTATATATTCAATAGGTAAACTTTAACATCTATCCTCAAATACTGCTTTGACAGGATACCTGTTATTTCCCAGAGGTCTGAATCAAACATACACCTCTGTGTTCTGCCTCCTACTCAGAAATCATAAAAGTTTTCTGAAAAAGGGTAATGTTTTTATCCAATGATGAGTAAGCTCTTAAAACATCTATCTTCTACCAGTGTGCCACTTGTTTGCTCTGGCTAGCAGTTTTCAGAATTACCTAAAAATTACATCTGGAAGTAGGAAATCCTTTGCATAAGGGGTCTAAATACTACGTAACATGTCTTAAGCACTACTACAAGACATACATATGTGAAGTCAAGACGTTTCCACAAGCTATGTGAAGAATACTAAACTAAAAGCAAAAATCACACACAAGTGAGTCTGAAGACAGTATGTACCTCACCAACATGAGGAAGAAAAGACACTGAATGTACATTTATCACGTTTCTGACATCAGGCATTCACCTAGTGTCAACTTAGTTCTTTTCCTTTCAGTAAGGCTTTGCTCTGATTTCTTAAACACTAGGCTGTGGCAGAAACAACTTAATAAAGGTATCTAGAAATACACAAGACTCCTAAAATATCAGCATATGCTAGTACTGAACAAATGTTATTAACAATCTCAATCAGACAGGGCCACCAAAAAAAAAAAAGAGGGGAGGGAGAAGGGAGAGAACGATATATTCAAAATACTTTGGCTAGGTAAAGTACAAGCCAGCTTGGTTTTATTCCAAACAGCAGAAACAAAGAATGTAAACAGTGACCCTGTTTAAGAGGGAATTAGAATGCACAACTCCAGACAATTAATAGGTTCTCTGAATTTATGACTAGGATAGTATTTACTCAAGTACTGCACGAAAGTCGAGCTCAAAATTTGTAAGGGGAAATCCCCAAACTACAATAACTTCTCTATTTCTTAAACACACTAATAGGGAAAACAACAACATAAACCTGCAAAATAAAATACCACATCACCACTTTTCCTAAACTCCCAAAAAACAAAGTTTGCTGACCATACACATCTATTCAAATACATAAAGCAACTGGATTGGCTAAAAAAGTTCCAGAAAACTCATAAGGTAAAATCACTTCATAGTTCAAGGGCTTTCCTTTCATTCTGTTAGGGATTAAACCTTTGGTCTTACAATTAATGACCAGACAAGGAAATCCAATGGTAACAAGAACGTTTCTTTTTTTGCTTTAACTTTGTTACCTATTCAAGAGAAAACACCCATTTTCCTGGAAAATTCTAGTTTGTCTCATGCAAAGGAAATCTCACACTGAACATCTTAGAAATGCCTGGTTACTGTAACAGCTTCCTTCCTAACTTTGCAGTGCTGTATCATAAACTAGAAAAATTTATTAAAACTCATCTCAGAGAGACTCCATCCCTAGGAATAAATCACAAGTAGCTTAGGACTAAAAGAAGAACATTTTAGAAGATCTATCAAGAACACACACAAAAAATGAAGTCTCGGTCAGTAAAAAAGGTATTACACACACACAGTTGGTGTTTTGTAGAGGCTATTTTACAAAGCTGAAACAATGATAAACCAAGTCACCTGGAGACAAATAAAATCGTGAACAGTGAGAGAACACTTTATCAACCATGAAAGTATTAAATTGCATTTCAAACACTGAAAGTCCCCTAAGTTGGGTTGGTACCTCTTGGATTCCAAAAGATCTGCCTGAGACAAAAGAGAAATTTACCAGGAATAACAAACAGCTTTTGAGGCTTTTTGAGGCACTCTGACAACCCACAGGTTCAACAACTTATGTCCAAAATTAATACTCTAAGATCTAGATGCTCTGAAGATTGAAAATCCTGTGATAGAATAACCTAAAACACAAACTTTCTATTTAATCTATACTGATTAGTTATGCACTACTGTTCCCTGAGGAAGAGACATTTAAAGAAAGAAAACATAAGGCACTTCTATTGATGCACTCTTAATGAAACAATTTTTTTTTTTTTTTTACATTCTAACTATTTATTGTCTGTTTTGTAGCAACAAGTTTCCCAGGATAACTTAAGTTTTTCATTACAGCAGAAGCACTTTCTACAATAGTTAATTACTTCCTAATTTGCTTCCAAGAAAATTTTAATATTGACTTCTAGGATCAACAAGAAAAGATTTTGATATCCACAAGTCTAATGTGTTTCAAAATGCATATTTTAAACAAATAGTTAAATTAGATTTTCAGTATAAGATACTGGATAAAATATACACTTCCTATACGTATTTACATGGGCAAGTTTCTTTATATTTTTTGATACATAAATACAATGATTCATCTAATACAAAGCTTACTTTTCCAGTTCTTCAGGATCAAATTTCCACCAAGTATCTGGCTCACGGAACTCCACTCTGTATCCCTTTTCTAGAGCCTGTAGCAAGCAAAGAAAAATGTTTCATATGAGTAGCATTATTAAATAAAATATGAACAGTAATAACTACAACAAGAAGTTCATGGACCACTACAATAAACAAATGTAGTTAAATATACATTGGTAGTATGCTGAATTTCACTTGCCCCAAACCTGTCTTTCACTCCAGGCTAAGCAGATTAGATCACATCTGTCCTAAAACTGCTGTGGACTATCACCATACCATTTACTCATTGTATTAACAAGCAGATTTCCTACAGAAACCCAAGAACAGAAGATGTTCTGCACATAGCAGACCAGCTCATTGCTCATGAAGGTAAACTCACAGAGCTGTACCAGACGGTATAATTTCACAATAAAACCTACCACTTCCACATATGGTTTCATCTCCCAGGCTTGAGTATTAGTGTTGTCTATTATAACTGGAGATTTTCCCTGCTCCATTGCCTGTTTGGCTGCAACAAAAGAAACTGCATGTAAATAAGCAATTATATAATTCAAATAAAATGGTGCATGCAAGAAAGTTTTTGCATTAATCTGGTCTGACTGAAACACACAGTTCTATGAAAAATAGAGATGGAAATGTAAAGTAGTACGAGCAAATAGGTAAGAGAATGTGGTGAATTGATACAAAGGGTTAAATGGGAATTGTTGAAACAATACTACAGAGCTGCTCCAAGTATGTGCCCTGTCGAGAAAGAGTCTCCTGGCATGAAACCATATTCAGGTTCCAACTTCGCCAGCAGCACGTGGTGCATTCATAACTGGGACCTGTGGCTAGGTATTGTACTTATTCAACAAAATGTTATGAAATACATAATATTCATACAAAGACATCCAAAATATTAGTGAGATCCATTAAAAAACCTGTAAAGATTTAACTTGGCAAACAGCTAAATACTACATAGCCTTTCACTCCTCTTCCCAGCCCCAGTGGGACAGAGGAGAGAAATAAAAAAAACAAAAACCAACAGAACTCAGAGGTTGAGGTAAAAACTGTTTACTAAAACAGAGAGAAATAATAGTACTGATAATAATACATACATGCATATATTTACAAAACAAATGATGTGCAACACAGTTGCTCACTCCCACAACCAATGCCCAGTCAGTCCCTCAGCAGTGCCTGCTTCCCCAGCCAGCTCCTCTCAGTGTCATGGTTTCATCACGCAATGCCATATGGGATGGAAGATCCCTTTGGCTGGTTTAGGTCAGCTATTCTGGCTCTCTCCGCTCCTACCTCCTTCTACCCCTCAGCCCCCTCACTGGCAGGACAGTATGAGAAGCTGAAAAATGGAAACACTCCTGCCACCATACAGCATTGCTCAGCAGTAACTTGAACATCAGTGTGTAGCCAGCACAGTTTTTCTCCTGAAGCCAAAACACAGCACCATACCATCCACTATGAGGAAAATCAACTCTGTTCTAGTTGCAACCAAGCCAAAATCTAACTCTGATCTTGAGATCAGGCACTCATTCCTCTAAATCCCTCATCCCCCACTCCAGAATGCAGTCAGTCCGGAAAGCATTTTGAGAGGACTCCTAACTCTCGTTACCAGGATTTGTTCCTGAAGAAAAAAAGGCATGCTTAAAAAGGGGGTTGAACAACATATCTAAAAAGCATGATTAAGTCAACCAGCTTCTGCATAATGGTATACAGGAGACTTATCCAAGCAATTGAAAAACTCAAGTACTATAATTACATCTGCTTGACATCTACACCAACATCAGCGAAACTAGGATAGCAATTAAGCTATTCTTAACAGAAGTGCAGAAAGAAATCCTACAGAAGAGTACCTAGAGAGGGTACTGAAGTACCTCATTTGTTTCAGAAATGTCCTACCTTAATTTTCATTGTTTTAATTTCCTTCACTTACTAAATTTGAAAAGGTCTCTCTCACCTTTTATAGAAAGGTACACTACATTTATATCTTTAGAAAAGGACTACTTTGTGAATTAGGCTCTTTTTGCAGCCTAAAACTAAGCCAGATAGAGAAGCAGATCTCTAACGTGTGACTCTATAGTGGATTCATGCATCAGATTCTTCAGTGCCTCTAATAACTCCAAAGCATCTTACAATCAAAGTAATACCTCTGTCAAATCATAAACTGTAAGAATAATTATTTTGCTGTTTAAAGAAATCTCGCAAAGATGAATTCCATTAAAAAAAAAAAAAATCAACTGCTCTGGTACTACAGATTAAAAAAAAATTAACTTAAGATTAACTTTTACTTAGTTCTAAGCAGTATTAATGATGTGAGTTACAAACATGTCAAGAATTTCACATTTCAAAGACCTTGCAAGAAAAAGAAAAGAGTTCAGTCTGCCTTTCAAAACACACTGAAAGGGCACAAGAGATAGAAAATGCACAATGGCTGCAAAGGAAAACCCTGAACCTTAGGAAATGCATGATCCAAGGCTGGCTGCACACTAATTACTGGACATATGCATTATCATATTGAACTTAACATGTGTGCTTGTGCACCATTTCCTCTCATAGTCTCCTACCTCTTTCAGCACACAAACTTGTTCCAGGATTGGGTTAGGGGTATGTATCAGATCATCAGCACGACTCTAGCATTCCTCTTTTTCGAGATAATTGTAAGATAAATAATGAATAAACCAGCATGACTGCAAATGAAGAAGGATCATCTTTTGGTGAATATTCTTGAACATTCCAAATGGCCACTACTTTGCCTGATCTTCATTTTCTAGCTGTCAGTTTTGAAAGTCACAGATATCATTTACAGAAGTGATATGAACTCATATGAAGACAGTGAAAATTTATTTTGACTATGTAAAGTTCTATTACTACTACACTTCCCAAAGAATGTTCAAATCGTTAAGTCTGGCATCCAAGATAGCAAGTTATTTTAACAACTGTGCCTAAGGTTGCCAATAAAAAAAAATTCATAATGTAACACCACCAGTGCTCACATGGAACTTACGATGATGAATTAGATGACAGAGCTGAAATATCTGAAACTCAAAATATGAAAAACAGTGTTGTAAAAAAGTATCCAAGAGAATTAATAAGGTCTTGCTAAACAGAGTCAGAAACAGTATATATCAAATGAAAAGAGAGATCCACAATGAGTACTGAGGATTATTCAGTATATATATATATACACACACATACACATCTGTTGTATATGTATTCATTGAACAGACACTGTTCAGTCTGTACACTGAATGAAGCAGGTATCCAAAGGAAGAAAAAAAAAACTAAGTTATTGTTGAGAACCACGGATTTATCCTGATGAAATCAACCCATAAAACAAGAAGAAACAAAAGGAAAAGAGACTGGGAAGTAACCACACAGATGGAAGGCAGAAAAAAAAAAGATAAAGTATGTTCTATCAGAGCATTAAGAATCAGTGGAGAAAGTCATGAAAACTGAACAAACTGGCTTCATTAACCTTGCACAAGTGACAGACTGACGTGACAGGCTTCAGGATTTTTCCCTGAAAGATGGCATTCAGGAAAGAATAATAAAGAATACAAAGATTAATAAAGGGAATAACTGATTCGCCAATGAAGGGCCAAAATTTTCAAAAGCTTGTGAAGAAAGATTGTATTGAAGTCACAATGGCAAATTAATTCCAGCATTTGCTGTATTTGTGCACTTGATACCCCAACCTACGAATTAAATGCATATGTGCTTTGTTATCAAGGATATGTAATTCACTGTCTTGTAAACATTCAAGAGTTTTAAATCCTGCTCATCTAAATCCCTCACACAGTCACTCAATCTTATCAGCTTTTCTGTTCCTCAGCCAACTTTTAACTTCCTTTGAAATACTTATAATGCTGCAATGCAATGTCAAAAAGGCTTCTTACAAGTTTTACAATTCCAATAATTGCTCCAAACAAATTCTTCATGTTCACTTGTAACTTCTCCCCAGTGCATCATAAATTTTTATTAGGGTGAGAATAAAGGGGAAAATATTTGCACTGTCCTGCAGACATCTTTTTCCTTGGGTGCTCCATAACTTCTGATGCAAAGAAGGATTCATTCCTCTTACACAGGAAGGAAGCTTCTGTTCAATCTCACTCTGCAATGTCTTAATCTGCATGTAAAGGAGTGGATCAAACATGTAGAGAGATTCTTAGAAAACTACTAGAGAAAGGGTGAGAATCAGCCTGTCTTCCATCCTTCTAACCTTGGGTACCTACTTCTCTTTAACTCAATCCTTGACTGCTAGGTGTTTGCTTTATTTGCTTTATGAAAGTGTTAACCCACAAAAGAAAACTAAAGCTTTGCTCAGAAAAACTCTTCCACGAACCCTGGACAAACCTCAGACCAGGAAAGACTCCGGAAAAACCAAGACACTGCTGACGCCAGCAAAAAATGTTCAATTCAGACACAAGGATATTAGTCTCAGATGTAACAAATCAGCAGGTCAGAGCATACAGAAGAGATTTTGCCCTTAGAATTTGCACCTTCTACAATTTCAAAATCCAATTTAAATTCAGATATTGATTAAAATATAACATTAAAATACAAATATGTATACTCTGACAGTTTTATTTATATATACACACACCTATACTTCCACACACACATACATGCCCCATCTCATACATACTATTTGCACATGCGTGTTAGGCTTTCCTTCTATTTTCTAAATAGAAGAGTAATTTAATAGAATTTCATTTCATTCAAACCTCTCTTCTGGTTCCAGTCATGGGCATCACCCAGCTGAGCAGCATTATATGTATATCCATCTTGTTGACGAAAGTAATCATCGGTGCTGAGTACAATGCCATCACGGCTATGGTCGAGCAGAAAACTATTGAAAAAAGAGAAATGTAAAATGTGACAAGATTTATTTTTCATATTAACCCCCCCCCAAAAAAATAAAGCTAAAATAAATCAGTGCCCTACTTCTGAAATTCTTGCAAAATTTGAAATATTTTGTACTGGAAAAACGTAAGTATACTATTAATTTCAATTCAAATTAAAGCAGTGTTCTTCCCCCTCTTTACTCCTTTATTTGTTGTTCCTCCAACTTAGAAGTCTGTAACCAACTACTTCATGTCTCTGTCACAATAGGTTCTGAGCACCTAGTGGTCATTTATTATATTCATTAACACCTCCCATGTCAGTTTTTATCTGTAATTATCTCCAGGAACCAATCTGATCATGGGACCTGGATATAACTGAGAAATGAACTGGATGCTTAAGTAGTTCTTCCTCTAAACAAGCATTCTTCTGCCCACTGTTCATGTTACTTGCACATACAATATGCACTGAATAGGAACAGCAAAAGAAAACTTCTGATGTTTTCAGCAATTTTCACATTTTCACGGAAAAATACAGGATCACAATAAGATTTCAGGATTGTGCTACTAACAAAAGTCAGGATTGCAGAAGAGTATACATCCTGTATTGGAGGAATGATATTCCATTTCTATGTCTTCTGCCCCAGTCCGAACCATACAATCTCACTCACACCTTCTCATCAGCAATGGCACTCCCTGCATCTACAAGTTACCCAGAAAAAAAGTGACCCTTATTTTTTTTTTCCGGGTCAATTTTTGGAAACTTTAGCATTTGTACTTATTCGAGCGAAGGCCCAAAAGGATGACACGAGGAAAGTGATGAAAGAAGATCAATACAGACCTCTTCTAGTAGCAGCAGTGAGCTGCTACAGGGGTAACCACATCCTTTAGAACTGCAGTTCCAGTCAAACAGGTGACAAGAAATTTAAGATACAGTTTTTAATTGCTGTCGTTCACACTTCAGGGTTAACAAGGTGACAGGAAAAGCGTAAAGTGTTTTACTATCCCTGCATGTATTAAACTTCAAATCAGGAGAAAAACAATCACTTCTTGAACCACTTAAATCACTTGATTAAAGTGGGTTAGCTTGGCTTCCTGAGGAAATGCCATTTTACGGTGACTTTCAACAGAACATGAGTTTGATGGGTGAAATGAAAGGGGAAGAAATGATCAGATAAATCAAAACAAAACAGTTAGCAAATGAATAAAATGCAGAGATCCAAATTAGAACCCTAAAAGATTAGAAAGTAAAACGGATTGCAGTGTGAGTTTTGCATTTACCCAGCCTTTTCAGGCCTGCCATTTTTAAGCAGCACAGATATCTCACTAGAAGTTTATTTCATTTGTGGGTCAGAATAACCTAACGTTAAAAATTACAGCAGGAAGCCAGATGAAAACAGCTTCAACATAAAGAACAAAAGACACTGTGGGGAATTCAACTAAGGCAAAAAGGAAGTGGTTGTAAAGTATATTGTTAACAAGTTTATTTTTTTAATCTATTTTATAATATTTCACAATATTGGTAATGTTTCTGATTATTATATTAGTTACTGCAATGACTAATACTATTACCTAGATTAGTTATTGAAATGAGTGATGAAAGAATATTGCACAAATCCATTAAACTTCTCTAGAATTCTCTATTTGCATTGGCATGAAATGCAACAGCTAAACCACTGAGAGGCATAACTGAGCTAGTTTTTGGAGTTAACTAAAATTCATGCTCAGTATTGCCCAGGAACTCCCAACAAATACCTGTGAATCAGAGAAACCAAGGACAGCAAAGTTGTGTGTGTGTGTGTGGGGGGGGGTTACCCTCCTGGTTGATCAGCAATATTAGAACTCTGTACATGTGATCAAACCCACATTAATCCAATCCAGTGAGTAATCTCTGTTCTGTCAAACATAAACCTTATGTTCAGAAAATCCCTGGAAATTGGTGCTTAAAGGAAAATCCTGTGAAACAGAGATAACTGTCCTTTCAGTCAGATCTACAAGTCTGATCCCATGACTGTTCTTGTTTTCTATAGTATATTCTAATTTATAAAAACAGCCACTCATTGCCACAGAGCATCTATATCCCACTGAGACTCTTGGAATCCACTGCCCAGTGGAAATTGCAGCAACTACTCAGGCTCAAAAATAGGCTCTGTACCCAAAGGCTACAAGAAGTAAACTGCACCAGCAGCATGCATGATACACTGCTGTTGAGATGCCAGGAACAGAGGACAGCTGGCCAAACCCCAAACCACAAAGGCAAGGCAACAAATGCATGTTAGCTCTAAGTTACCAAGCTTTCCCATAAATAGCTGCAGGGAGAGCTACTTAAGTTTAATTCTCACAGGAGGAACGTGCTGTGTATTGCCATGTCATCAACGATAGACCTTGTAGAGCTCACAGTTAAAGACTGGGAATGGCCCAACATTACATCAGTTACAACTAGAGACTTGCATTAAAAACTCATCTGGAAGAAAAGTAAATCCAATTTTACATAACAATAATTTAAAAAATTAAAAAGACTATTATATTATTTGCTTTCCTATACGTTTACAGTCCTACAATTAAGTTGTTGGTTATTCTCGCCTTTAAAGCACAGAGATTTCTAACAACAAAACCAAAATTACTGGGGAACAGAAGAAACTACGAATAATGCATCTGTGAAGATAAAAGATGCCTTCGATCCATTTTTTCCCGTTTGTCCTTCCTCCCTGTTCCAGAGTACAAGGTTACCTCAGAAAAAAGACCAGTGCTTTTTCAGAAAGCAGAGTGATATGACAGAATTACAGCCACTTTGTTGGACATCATTCAATCAATATTTTTGTTTGAGTCTTCGCCTTTTAGTAAGATGGGTATTTCACTGGTAGGAGAACACAAATAAACAAAATGGCACCAGTAAGTCATACAGCATAAAAAACAGCACTCTCTTCTAACACCAATTCCTGTTTCACATAAAATATTTAACAGGAACGTGCATTTCCTAAGTTATCTTGCCAGGTTTTCAAACACGGCCCAATTTTCTTATTTTTAGTATTCTACATTTGCCAGCTAATAATGCTCAAAACAAATGGCTCCACCTTCCACACTCACTTCTTGTGTGCTGAATCATGTGCATGTATCACAGAAAATAAGAACCGCCTTCCTTAAGAAAGGAAATAAGAACTAATAACTGGGACCTGATTCTTCAACTAGCTGTGCAGAGTGGACACAGGCACCCTCTGCAGCTCTCACGAGCCTGGCATCACATCTGTGTGGGGATACATACAAACTGACAAATGAACACACAGCAACCAATGGGGCACTCATCCGTATTATGATTTCCAGAAACTGTTCAGAGTTCTGTAAAGTAATTCATTTACTCAAATTCCTCTGTATTTTCCAAACCACAACAGTCCTAGTAATAAAGAAACACTGCAAGGGGTTAGGAATCTTGCAAACCCATAAACACAATTTATTCTTGAAATATTTTATTACTGTTTTTCAATGCCCAGAACATATGACAATTTATGAACCTATATATCCAGTGTAACAAATTTAATACACTGAACTATGTTTTCAAGAATAATCCTGGAACTACATAACTGCAGAGGCAGACTGACTACCAAAGATGATAGGGCAACAGAATCCTTACCCCAAATACAACACACACACCACCTCCAAGTAATGAGCTTATGAACTAGAGCTTCAACTATGATGACAGTGTTCAGAGCCTGTTTCATAACTTAGGCATGAAGTCATAAAACAACACTTTAAAAGTCTAACAATCATCTCTTTTAGAATCTGTGCCATTTCAACTTGTAAAATCTTAAACATCAACTTCACATGGAATAATTTACGCACTTCTAAGATGTATCTGAAAATAAAATTTATCCTGGGCTCATGAACTCAGATAGAAAAAACAAAGCACACCTATGCAAAGAATGAATCCAACCTCACAAAGAGGCAATTCCACTGCTGTGAGGTGGGGAAGAAAAAACAATGAAGATAATTCTCTAACAGGAAAGTCAAACTGCAGATCAGTCAGCATCAGTACGTGCACACGTGTGACACAAGTCGCAGTATTAACCAACCACTGCAAACCAGCTCTTCTTCATCCAACTGCAAGACGTTCCCTGCAATTGAACATTCACCTCTGAGCCTAACAGGGCAGCGACACTGAAGCAGATACAAAAATCACAGCAGCTCACTTAGTTTTTTTTTTTTTTTTAGATAAGCTAGTTGATCTAATACAAGTTATCATTTCTACACACAAAACTCATCTGGAAGTTCAAGTGCTCATATAAACTAGACAGCAAACTAATACATATTTTTTCTAGCATGTACATACCCACATACACCCATGCACCAGCTTTAAATTTAGTTCTTCAAAACAGTTCTGCACTCCACACTGCAGTTAGCTTACCTTGATAAATAACTTTACAGTTAAGATGTCTTAGAATCTAATAAATTATTTAAAATAGCTAACTTAGCATACAAACAAAGAAAAAAACAGACTGTAACTAAACGGTTTTTAAAAATCTGTAGTACTACTAAGCTATTTAAATGGTACTTGTAAATGATTCAATAATCAATGTAAATGATTTGAATAGGCAAGGGGAATGGTTTTAAACTGAGACAGGGGAGGTTTATGTTAGATATTAGGAGGATGTTTTTCACATAGAGGGTGGTGATGCACTGGAACAGGTTGCCCAAGGAGGCTGTGGCTCCATCCCTGGAGGCATTCAAGGCCAGGCTGGATGTGGCTCTGGGCAGCCTGGTCTGCTGGTTTGTGACCCCGCACATAGCAGGGGAGTTGGAACTAGATGATCATTGTGGTCCTTTTCAACCCAGGCCATTTATGATTCTGTGATGCTTTTAACACTATTACGGGCAGCATTTTTAAAGAAACGTAAAATTAGGAACAATAGCACAGAAATATTTCTACATCCAGCTGTAAATACCTATTTAACCCATCCACTCACAAGATCCAGAAGCTCTTCATTCCAACAGCAGTATTCTCTTTCTGGAATACTCTCTTATATTGGCCTAACAACAGATTTAATTTCAAGCATACATTGCCAATGATGCCAATATTTGTTTTTTCAATCTCATTAAGTTAATTTTACACAAATTCATGTTGATCTATTTATAGAGGAATGGAAAATTGGAATTGCTGCCAAATTTATTTGCAAAATATCCTAAAAATCAAAGTCTTTTTAAAAATCTTTTTCCCATGGCATTTACATTCTAAAGATCACATTACCAACTACTTAAAATTACAGCACATTTTTTGCTACTTGGGCTAAAGATACCATCACTGGGTATCTTTCTGGACAAACAGTATAGAACATTCCTAACTAAACTGTAAAATCACTTCCAAAGCAAAGGAAACAAAGTATTTTCCAAGCTTTTCTCTGTAGTGCTTTGGATTGAGGGAGCGTTATCTAGCAAAGTACAATCATCTGCTTTTCTTTTACCTATTTTTTTCTTCCCAAATCCGTCCAAGTTGCAGGACTTTAAAACATCAAGTGCACAGAAAACAGAAGTAAAAAGCACTTGGTTTTGTACAAAGCAGAGCAGAAAAAGCAAAGATTCCCACTGCAATAAGTCTATTCCTGAACAAAGCATTTCTGCAATTGAAGCAATGTAGATCAGCACCAACACTGCACTATGAGCACTATGAGAATGCACTTCATCCAGCACAACCTTAAGAACAAAAAGAGAAGGAAGAAAACTGGCCTAAAATGGGAAGGACTTAGGAAGCATAGTGGTACAAATTGCAATGAGCAACTCACAGCTGTCACCGGAAGAAACAAAAGAGCAAAGCACAACAAAGAAATCAGTACAATTAACCTGGGAGTGAGACCAAACCAGCAGCTGATACAAGGAAAAGGTAATCCTAAGGAAAAAAGAGAGGAAGACTGAACCAAGAAATCCACTTAGAAATTTAGGGCAGAAGCAGAGATATTATACTGCAGCTGCCTACACATGTAATAATGCATGTAATAAATCAGTGAGATCATGAGAGATCTCCAGTGACCAGGAAAAGGTTAATGCTATGCCCATATTTGAGGTAAGGAAAGACAAGGGAACTGGGCTGCTCAAACTCACCTAACATCAGCTTCCAGAAAAATCATAGATTCCAACAAAGTGCACTATTTCCAAACATGTGAAGGAAATTAAGGTCGTTACAAAGAGTTAGGGTGGGTTTACAACAGACAAATCATGCTTCGGTGGCTAGACCAGACTGTACTATGTGATGAAACAACTGGCTTTGTGGATGAGGCCACAGCAATGAATGCAATATCCTTTGAATGTATTAAAGCTTAAGGCTCTAGTCAGTACCTGCAGAGTAGCAGGACTGACAGTGAAATCAAGATGCCCAAAGACTTCACCATTAACCTGGATCATGAGATGATCCTTAAAGGTGACACCACACTGGTAGCAAAGACAGACATACCTAACATTAGGGCTCGGTGTCCTGGAGGATACAGAGAAATCTGAGCACTGGGCTAAGTGAAGTTCAACATGGAAAAGTGCCGAGCTCTCCATCTGGTGCAAAAAATACCTATGCATTGGTACAGAATGAAAAGTAACTGGTTGAGCAGCCCAACTGAAAAGATCTAAGAATTACAGCAAATATCAAACCGAAGATGGAATCAATGGTGCAATCACATCAAAAGAACAACAAACATGCTATTTTTTTATTAGGGAAAAAGTGGTCAATGGAGAAAAAAAAAGTGGATCTATGGAAGATTACCCCCTCTGTCCCTTGCTTATCAGTTCTAAAATACTGTGTTCAGTTTGGGGCTTCCTAGTTCAAGAGGCACTTTGAAAAACATGAAAAGGCTGAGCAGATGGCGTATAACCTACAAGTACCAGAGAAGCTTTGAGTACACTTATGGAAGTTCTCAAGACAAAAATATGACTGATCTGATCCAATGATGGTGGTAGTCTCGCTCCAAGCAAAAGGATGGACTAGGTGACCTCCAGAAGACCCTTCTAAGAAACACGCCTTTGATGTCAAGCATGTGGGATGACAAAGTCAAAACAAAATACAGACTTCATTATAAGATTAAGAACAGACATGTCAAGTTTGGGAGCAGGAGGAAACGCGTCTGTACTTACAAATCCACAGTTTGCACAAGAATGCAGACTGGAATTCAAGATTCCTGAGTCTCACTACTGCTTTGCTGACATTATACACTTGAGAAACTTGCTTGCAAGATGCAACTAATTCCTTCTACACCTGATCTATGAAGATAAGTCAGTTTTGTGCTTTTCCTATACAGTCATTTTGCTAGCACAAGCAGTAGAGGTTTCTCTGATGTTCCTAAAGATGCCCAGACTACCAAGATACCATGGGTACTAATGACACCACAAGGCTATGGTGTCATTTGTTGTCCTAGTCTGCACTGCAGAACTCTACGATGCTATATAGTTCTGGTTTTTAGTTTCTTCCCCCAGCACATCCCACCCCTTGGGTATCTGAGACCCTGGAATACGATTTTGCAGGAATTAACAATTAAAACCAAGCTCTGAACATATAAAATTGCATACAGCTGAATACAATGACAAACAAGTCCCACACAGTTCAAATTCAGTGCACCCAAATTCAGTGACTGTGATTGACCTTGATCTTACAGCACCCACTTCCCCATCTGTTAAATGCAATTAGTAATTCATCTGACAAGTAAGAGATGAAAAAGCATGAATACAGATTCATAAAAAACTTAAAATACTTAGGATCTTTCAGCTAATGTGACTGTCATACTTGGAGAAAGATTGAAAAGCCATTCATCACGCAAAGTATGGAAAAGATAATGTTAAATAGTCTCATATTTAAAACTACCCAATTTCTGCACTGAATAAAGCAGTCTTTTTCCACTACAATTATTTTCTATGTTACTTCTATATACTTAAGAAACTACTGCAATAATACTCACATATTAACACTCAGCTTCAAAAACATAGGTTTGCAGAACAGAACAATCAGTAACTAGAAAATGTGAGTTAAAATTATACAAATGTTAGAAATTACTAGTAGACAATCTTCTATGATACAGCCCCCTAAATACTAGAAAAAAAAAAATCAAAACCCACACACAGTAAGGTTGCTCCTTTACACAAAAACAAACAACAAGGAAGAACATAATCACTGTAACTATTTAATAGCCTGCTAACATACAAGGGAATATAACCACAAACAACATCCTGTTTGTCACATGCAGTTTCTGGATGAAGCTCAATCAATAAATACTAACAAAGTAACTTCTTCTGTGTGCAAAAGAAACGTGTTTTCATTTACTACAGACAGTGGTTTTGTTCTTTATCAACCTATACACTTTTTACAGTAGGCAAAAAAAAAAAGTGAAAATCCAAGCTGGAGTTTGTGCTTGCCTTTAACTCTGTGGGAAACTTCAACAAGCACATTTCTAAGGGAAAATGACACTTTCCTTGTGTGTTCACAAATTAAAAAAAGGTACAGATTACGCAGTTTCACCAGTACACTGAAAAGGATTACACTTCCAGAGAAGCAAAATTCTTCTAATGGTCTTTGAAGATTTTTGCACAGCCATAAAAAATTACTACTCCTGCTAGATTATACCAAAGATTTTTTTTTTTAATGAAAAAATTTGATAATAAAAGGGGCAGACCATCACATACTAGTGCATATGAGAACTTCAGAATAAAAGTCAAAGAACATTTCAAAATTAACATAGAACAGCTTCTGTTCTTCAAAATTCATACTAATGGAGACAAAAAACAAACCATGTGATTCTAATATTTACTGTCAGATGTCTTTGCTAAATAAAAATGACTGCATTTTAATAACCTAATTTACAAATATCAAATTTTGCCAAGTGCTTGCTGATAAACTTTTCAAAAATTCTTTTTTTTTTTTTTTTAATCTGAGTAAGCTTCCCAACCTTTAAGCCTTCACTTAGAATCATAGAACGGGTTGAAAAGGACCACAGTGACCATTTAGTTTCAACCCCCCTGCTATGTGCAGGGTCGCCAACCATCAGACCAGGCTGCCCAGAGCCACATCCAGCCTGGCCTTGAATGCCTCCAGGGATGGGGCATCCACAGCCTCCTTGGGCAACCTGTTCCAGTGTGTCACCACCCTCTGTGTGAAAAACTTCCTCCTAATATCTATCCTATACCTCCCCTGTCTAATTTAAAACCGTTCCCCCTTGTCCTATCACTTACCGAGACAGCGTTGATTTCCCTGACCCAGGTAGGCCTCTTAAGATAAGGAGCACTTTCCGTGAACAATCAAACCTCTCCTCAGGTGGCAAAGAAAATCTATGCATTTGTTCTGCACTATAACTTTTTGGTTCTTCCCAATACTCTTTTCTGGTTTCACAGAAACCACTACTTCGGAGTCCACTCTGGTGATTATTTCCATTTCTGAAGACCTGAGCACTATGGAAATCAGTATGACCAACACTGTAGCTACTCTGATCATGCACTGGACCATGACAGTTGATATCCCGACCTTCATGGTAACCATAGTAATTTTCATAAGAAAGTTCATCATTCTGAGAAGGAACAGCATTTGTTTTTTGCTGTGTGGAATTAAGTATCTGAAAATGTGCCTGATGGGTCAGCCTAGGAGGAGGAGGCCCCTGAGGTACTATGAAAGACTCCCTTGACTGCCAGGCAGGTCTGAATTCAGGCACTGAATAATTAGACTCCATTTGTCCATTAAAGGCATTTTCAGTTTTCCAGCCACTTGTTTCCATGACAAAATGCTGCTCACTGCTTATTTTCTGACTTCCCTGTTCCCCAGAGAAATATTGTCCATTCTCATAAATGGACAATAATGGTTGTGGGCTGTCCAACAATACATGTTGATAATTCTCTTGTGATGTTTGACTGCAATTATACACAGAAAATTGTTCCTGAGAAGTTTCAGTTTCTTTTTCCTGAAGCAGATTTAAATTTTCACTTTCCAGCTGGTGGATTTCTTTGTAGAACTGGTCCAGTTCATCATCCATTCCTGATACAGCAGAAGAAATGGCTGGCACCTTCTCTGTCTCAGTTCCTTCAGTTCTGTTTCCATGCAAGCCATCTCCCACGCTGCTTTGATATTCATCACAGCTCCCAGACTGGTCCTGCGTATTACACTCAGCAGGCTTGTAAATCGGTCCAATAAATTCTTTGCTTGTAATAAACTCTTCATCTGACTCATTTCTATTTATTGAGAATGCTTTGCAACTATTTTTAGTATTATCTTCATTGACATCATTCACAGTAAGAGGATCTTCCTTTCCTTCATCCCCAGTGTCATTTACTGATACAAATGGAGGATTTATATTCTGCACAATCACAGAATCAACTGTTTGATGAAACTCTAGATTACCCTCTGGAAGCCCTTCACTCGCTGCTCCCAAGACATCCACAGGTATTTTCTCTTGCTTCTGCACTTCATTATCCCCTTCATTATCTGAAACACACACTGGTATCAAATCATTAGATGTTCTGTCAGGGTCCCCTTCTTCTTGAGTGCCTTGGTTGCCACAATCAGAGAGGTTCTCAAAAGCCTCTTCCGTTGACTTCATCTTTTTAGAACGCGGTTCTGTTGTGATTTCATCCTGACACTCCAACTGCCTTACTCTACTTTCAGCATGAAGCATCTTTGGAAAAAAAGATTAATACATTATCAGCACAAACAATTTTAAAGCAAAGTAAAAAAAAATATCAAGTTACTGAGGCCTATGATGTGCATCTTCAGAATCTCCACTATCACAACTGAATGTGGAGTACGCACTGAGAAGGAGAAAAGCAGACAGTAAATACTGGAAGTCTTGCGCAGTAGCATGGCAATTTTGTTTAAACATCTTTACATATGAGAAATACATTGTGTTGAACCAGTCTTGCAGTCATGTTTTGTATCTTAATTTACAAATCGGTCTTTCTTCATATGAATTTTATATATGAAAAATGTTAGATCAACAACTTCTCTACTGACCTTTGCTAATCTGCCAAGAATCACAGACCTCTATGGTAGGATTAACACATGCCAAATTTCAAAGCACAAACTAATGCCTGACATCACTACTAAGATGACCAACAAAAATGCAAATACTTCAGACACTGGGATCATTTTCTGTGACAGGAACTCAGCTAATTCATTTTACACCAATAAAACAGATATTGGATGACATCTCTAAATTGGTACTGGTTAAATAAGGCTTAAAATTAAGTTTACATTCTGACATTATGTTTCTGGTTACGGAACAACTAAAGACCTTCATTAGGTACCAAAACCACACAGCTGCATATTTTCAAAGTAAACTGAAAACGTAATCTAAGCACCAAATGAATTACAATCTAAGAATGAGGCAGTAACTTCCAGAATGATAGACAGAGCGAGAGCAATTAAAAACAAAGTCAGGTAGTTCTGATCAGTGTGACATGCAGTCATGCCATTGCCCCATCCATTATCCATAGTTTGATTTTCCTCAGCACTCTAGAAGTCTATATGTAATGCAGTGGAAAGTAAAAGTCATCATAAATTAAGTGCCAAGTAGTATATATAGCAAGCCTTCCAGAATAACAAACATTATTAAATTAGAAAGTATTTATCCTACCAGAGGATTTATTCTCCTACTCTCTGTCAACTGTGGAATATTTCATCTTTCTAAGAGTTAATATTGATCAAATGTTACGTGCTCATCATCTCCAACAAGAAACAACTTTTTCTTTCCTTCTCTGTCTGAAAAGGATTTGTAGATAACATCAAAAGAAGATTTCTAAGTAATATTCTTCATTTCAACTTTATGTGTAAAACTTGATGGGGTGTTTATCAGGACACTTCCTCATCTATGTACAAAGTGAAAAAGAGTCAGAAAATGCTTAAGTCAAGGAGTTTTACTGTTTCTATTTCATTTTAATAACTGGAAAATAGCACTATTGCCATATGGTGGAAAAACAAAGCCATGCATGCCAATACTTCCTTGGTATTACTGGAATGCTGATCTGGGTACCACACTCTCTCCATCTCTCAAGACACATACATTGCTTCTCGCACATCTGCTTTTCAGTTCCGCCTTTTTGCAAATTAGAAAACAAGCATGACATATGCCTATATCCCCCAACTACTCAAAAATGATATTTTACACAAGAACATTGCAACCTGTTGTAGGGGACCTGCTTTAGTGCGGGCATTGGACTCAGTGATCTCCAGAGATTCCTTCCAATACCTACAATTCTGTGATTCTGAAAAGTTGCTTTACCCTCATTTCTATTCTCATCTCTCTTGTGGAATGGGGCTTATGCAAGGCATACACATATGCTTGTGTGAAATGAAAGGAGCATGTGAGCTACCTGCTGCATGAGAATTTCTCTCATGATGGAGGATACTGCTGTGTGACTGTCCCACACAAGAAATACTCATTCTTTCTTCAGCAGGCTTGCTCAGATAACCTTAGGGAAGGATAAACTGCACATAAAAACATTTCCACCTGCACTCTCAGAGCACGTGCATACTGAGAAAGTGCAATCTACCTTACAGTCTTGCCTTTCGAAGGGAACAAAATAGAACCACAGAATATCCCGACTTGGAAGGGCCCCACAGGACCGCTGAGTCCAACTCCTGGCTCCATACAGAAACACCCCAAAACCAGGCCATATATCTGAGAGCACCGTCCAAACACTGCCTGAACTCCAGAGGCCTAAGGTCATGGTCTTTGCCCTGGGGAGCCTGCTAGCTCTGTGGCACTGAAGATACGGCTGGAAGCACCGAAGCCGAGCCGCACACACGATGCACTCGGCAGCGCTTACAACACCATGTCACCACTTCGACCTGCCAAACGCCTCCAGCAAGTAAGTAACTGACGGCCGTAAGCTCCACGTCTACAACAGATTCAATAACACAAAAAAAGAGGACGCGTGTGGCAGAGGCTGAAGATTAGAGGAAGGCCCGGATCCGCCCGCTGGGCACGGAGGAGGCAGCGCTCCGAGCCCTTCACGCTCAGGGACGCACCGCACGGCCGGGCCGGGAGCGGCAGCGCTCGGGGGCCGCGGGGTACCGCCCGCCAGCAGCTCCCTTCCCCCATCCCCACCCGGCACCACAGCCCCAGCAGCCGGCTCCTTCCCCCGCTGGCCCCTCGCTCCCCCTCACCCACATACGTGTGAGGAAACCAACCTCAAGACACGGGTGCCCGCCAGTTCGTCTTCAGCCGCCCCGGCGAGCGACGCACCCCCAGCCGGCGGTGGGGGAGGGGAGCGGAGGGCAATCCCTCACTCTCAAAATGGCGCCGGCTCCGCCTCCTCTGCTCTCTTTACCGCGGCTCGCTCTGGGACTCGTAGTTGCGCCCCGCAGGGCACAGGACTACATCTCACAGAATGCCCTCGGCGGTAGGGGGTGGGGCCGTCGCTCAGCGGGCGGTGGGCAGGCAGTTGGTGTTGCGGGCGGGATTCGGGCCGCTGTCGGTGAAAGGCGGCTCCTGTCCGAGGTGCGGCCGGAGCCCCGGCCTGAGGGGAGGGGCGGTGCTCTGCTCGGTTGCTGTGTGCTGGGGTGACGTAGGGCTGCTTTTGTACCCCTCATTCCTTCTCCTTGGGGAAGAATTCCCAAAGGCAGCGGGTCACTGGTTTTTAGGCGTTCTGAGCCCTGGCTGCGCTGCTCTAAAGTCATAGAATCATAGAATCATAGAATCACAAGGTTGGAAAGGACCTGCAAGATCATCTAGTCCAACCATCTTCCCACTACCATTGCTGCCACAAGCACTAAACCATATCTCGCAGCTCCTCATCCAGACGGCTCTTGAACACTGCCAGGGACGGCGACTCCACCAGCTCCCTGGGCAGCCATTCCAGTGCCTGACCACTTCTGAGAGAAAATGAGCAAGTTCGTATTGATATCGAAACATCTGGTGTTTATTCCTAGAAAAAGAAAAAAGAGAAAAAAAAAAATCGGCTGCCATAAGTGTAGGACAAAACTCTTGAGTGCTAAAATCATAGCTTCAGTGCTGGAGTAGTTGTGTAGGTACTGCATACGTGCTACCAGACCTGGGGAATCTGCATGCAGCTTCTCCTAAGAAGAGTGGCAGAGCCTTTTCCCACCATTCCTGTCTGGAAAAGCAGTGTATGAATTCCTGTGGAAATCAGGAGCAGTTCAGTGTTTGGTGGTGGTCTTTCTTGTGTCACTGGGGCCTGAGTTTTGTTCCATATTTTGGACAAAAGAGTCAAGCAGACAAATTCTAAAGTTATTTTGAATTAAAGAGAAATTCAGAAGGATCTGGTCATTTCTACCATGGAGAGTTCTTTCAGGAAGGGAAATAGGAGAAAAAACAAAACAAAACACTGACCTTTGTTACCAAAAGAAAAATGTATAGGTACAGCATATACAACGGGGTGTGTTATTGCAGTTAGGTGGACTAGTTCTAACTCAAGTATTTTTGGAAATACAAGGACCTGCATTGCTTTATTCTACACTTTGTATGAGATTATCTAAAAAATAATGAGTAGTCCTCAATTTTAGTATTCAAAAAGATTTTGTGACCAAGATGATTGATTTCTTAGAGGAGTCTTGATTGCATAATCCTAAGGAAAAGATTTATTTCCTATCTAAGATAACATTTATGGGCTTCTCTACACAAGCTAAATCATGAGAAAACCATGAGAAAATCATGAGTTAACCATTTACACAGAATGAGAGTGTCCTCTGACCTTTTGATGATAGTGCCTGTAGATCAAAGCTCTCAAGCACTTCATGGTGTGTTTCTAGTGATTGTCTCAGATGTATTTCATTTGGGGAATTCTCCCAATACTCATATATATAATTAAATAAGCCACGCATTGCAACTGACAATACTCTATCAGATTTTTTTTTTAACTTTACTGGGTGTAATAAAATATGTTTCCCTGATTATATTACAGCTGCTACAGGTGGGTGATACCTGTGCAACCTACTGTAAGGAAGCTGCTTTTGCAGGGAGTTGGACTTTGTCATTTCCAGAAATCCCTTCCAACCCTTACACCTCTGTGATTCTGTGATCTCATAGGGAAGATATTATACCTATATCAGACAAAGCTACAAATGATTCTCTTAGAATTCTGAGGTACTCTAGATTGTTAAAGAAGTTCCATCAGGAACATCAGCAGGATAAGCTGATAGAGGGTTAAAAGTAGAGTGAAACTACCTGACTTGTTCAGGACTAGTCAGAAGTTCCTCGACATCTATGCCAACACCTTAGTACTAGTTGATGAAATGTTGTCTTTAATTGATCTAAAAGAAGAGTGAAAAGGAAAAATTCCACTTTGTATAATCATTATTGCCATAATGTTTAAAGACCTGTAAGTTGGGGTTGATCTGAACATTAGAGATGCCATCATAATTTGTACATGTAAGGGAAACGAACAAGGTTCAGTGAGAAAAAAAAAAGATGTAACTTGGTATTATGTAACTTCAGTGTTTAAACTTGCAAACAGAACATTTTCTCAGAGTAGTTTTGCATTTTATTTTTTTAATTAAGAAAACAAGAAGGCAACTGCCCATTTTGGAGGATGCCTTGATTATCAGTTATCATGGTTTACCAGTATTACTGGTGGTTTAGATCCATGGCACAGATCATCAAAGTAAGTAGTTACAGTAAAAAAGGCTGCGTTCTTCTGTCTGAGCTCAATTTCATGTTATGTAGAAAAAAAAGTCTTAGAGTGCAACTTCAAATTACCAGTAACTTATGATAACAGCTACTGTCAGAAGAGGTGCTCCTGCTACCCCCTTCTCATACCTGGGCTTGTCTATATGCTGCCCTGCTTCCTTAAGTGTATTAGCTTCTGTTGTTTTACCACAGAGAGTCACAGTGCTCCTGTGTTGGCTCATCACTGGTGGCTCAAGTCTGTCCTGTGGTGAGGAGGGAATGGGAACATGTAGCTGGAGAGAGTATGGGGGACCCCTCCGTTTAGCTGCATTCAGCTGTTTGATCAGTTTCACTGTGATGCCTCATGAATTACTAACGTGACACTTCCAGCACCTTTGTGTAACTGTTGTACTCCAGTAATGCTACCTGCTATGACTCCACCTCTAGTGTTAATTTCCAGTATAATCTTGCTTCTCGCCTGTTTCTCATTAACCACTTGTATCCCATAGTGCTGTATCACTTCCTTCTACCAGTGCTGGTCTTTTTTTCCCCTTTCCCTCGCTTTCTGTTTCATTCAGATCCTTCATTCTGTTTTGTGTCACTTTCCTTTAAAAGACTAATGCACCAACTTTATCTTCTGCAAATCTGAAATGTGGCACCACAGTGGCATCCAGTTGCTGAGGGAAAACTAAAGAAAAAAAAGTACTCAGTTTCTCAGCTCTCAGGTAGAGTCAGTTTGCACAGAGGCAGTGAGACCAGCATGGACACATTTGAGTCTTTGCAGAGACTGTTTGTAATGATCAAGTTTGGGTATGCTGCAGTGGCAGCAGGAATATTCTTCAGACTAGTCTAATTCCTGTTTCATTAAAGGAAGGTATTTTTAATAACTCTGAAGAAAGATTTCCCTTGAATTTGTTTCTGGAAGCATTTTAGATGAAACTTCCCAAAATAATTAAGCATGAAGAAAGTAGCTGGCATGAAAAATATTAGTCCAAAAATCAACTGTTGGCAAAACAATACATTTCTGTTTTCTACCCTTTAATAGAAAAGATTAGAAAATTATAAGACAGGACAATCAGACTCAACCTGTAATCACAAGGGAAAAAATCAATAGAAATATCCAGAAGGCTCTACTTGACATTAATTTTTACAGTTAAGAGTTAATATAGAATGATAGATAGTTCAGTCATTTAAATCTTTTGGCATGATCTTGTTATTAGACTTAGCAGAGTCCTGTTTTTTTTCTTCTCATAACCCTGTTCTTCTACTAATCTACTTTAATAAAACATGCATTTGTCTTCAAGAGAACTACTTACAGATATATTTGTCTCTTTCTAAAGAACCTTGTGTTTTAGTTTGTCCTGCCACTCTATGCTTCAGTGCATCTATTTAGAAAAAGTGAGGCTTCAAGATTATTTAGGAAACAGTCTTGCATAAGTCTTTGAATTTAAATCAAACTATAGAGAGAAATCCTGGTGAGCATTAGGGGAATTGGCTTACTCAACGCTATAGGAATATTTCTCATCAAACAGTTTTCTGAAACTGTTTGCAACTGATAGCAAAGTATGCTGTTCTGTAAATGACAGTTCAACATTTGAGTAAAAAAACAGGAATAGTTTTTTTAAAAATTTTCACCAGCAGAGCATTTTTAATTTTCAAATTTCAACCTGAGAATTAACATAGGAGTCCTGTTTTACAGTTTTGATAATGCCCTATTTACCTGCTGGTTTTGGGGAGATAGGAGTACTTTCTGGAGCATGTAATACATTCCAGTAAGTGATGTTTAAGGCATGGCTAGTACTTCTTTTCACTATGATAAAAGTAGTTTGTCATTTGAATATTGTTATTTGGTTTCCTTTTAGGTTAAGATGAGCCTTCTTGGACATAAGAAACCCTAGAGAAAAAAAAAAAGAAAAAGAAAAAAAAAAGGAATATCTTATTAGTTTATTTTGGAGATTTTTAAAATCTTTGATTTAATTTTTGTTTGTTTGTTTTTGTTTTTTTGTTTTTTTTTTTTAAGGGGCAATCTGCAAGATAGATTTTTCTTGACAGTAGAAGACTTGTTCTGTGAGTTAGACCTGAAGCACTTTAGCAAAACAGAGCTAACACAAGTGTATGTTTTAGCCCTTGTTTCAAAGGACAGTGCTTTAGAAAATGTAACAACTGCTGGCCTGAGGTAAAGCTGAGTTTATAAGTTGTGAAATGTTAGGGGGAAGCAGACCAAGAAAAACAAGATTCCAAACAATTCATATGTTTCAAAGTAGAGCAAGAGGAGCTTCTGGGAAGAGACACTTAAGATGAAGATCCAGGCACTGCTTAGTCTGCAAGCCTATCTCAATAGCATCTCAAATTTAAATAAAAATTGGAGGAGATGGAGTATAATGCTTTCAGTGGGCTTAAATTCAATGAGACATTAAAAGAGGTAGCTTTCAATAGTGGACAAACAGTGGAATGGTAAAAGGAAAATATGTGAGTAGGAAAAAATGAGCATCAAACAGAGCAACTGAAAAATACCCAGCATTTTTCATAACAGAATATATTTAAGTATTTAATGCTTAATACATTAGTCACTCATGGGAGAGGAACAGATGATAAAATGCTATAGAAATGTAGTGCAAAATATGTATGACGTTGACATCCCCATTGTTTTGTAGAATACATGCACAGTTGTTACTTGAAATTACTTTTATTTGAATACTTGAGGTTTAACAACTGAAATTTTTACCTTTCAGATACAACTTACAGTAAAAGCATTTACCTCTTAAATATTTTCCTCATTTTGTCATACTAAAAGCATTGCTTAAGAATATTTAGATTACGGAATCTCTTTTTCCACCTCCCATCCTACATCTCAATTAAGTGTGGAAAGCATTTAAATCAATTAAAGGTATCTCAGAGGAGAAACTAATTTAATTCACTGACAAACTGAGTTATCACCAGGGAAAGAAAGACTGCTGGTATAGACTCCCAAAATACTAATTTTGTACTGTCAGCAAGGCATTAAGATTGGAATGTATATATATATATATATGTATATGTTTCTAACTGTGGGTTTTTAGGTACTGTCTGCACGATGCGATATTAGTTGTAAGCATA